GTCGGGGCCCGGCCGTTACTGACGGCTGCCAGAGCGGGACTTCTCCCTGTTGCGCTGCTGACCTTACCCGTTCCCACCGCTGCTCCCTGCGAGGCGGAGAGTATCAGAAACTGGTCGTTAACGGCAACAATTTAAACTGCAACGGCCCCGACATAGTCTTGCACTAACCTTACTCGGAGAAGTGCGTTCATGATGAGAACTGGCGCGCAGAGCTCGTTCCGGCACCCCACCGCAGGACACGAAATGTCAGTTACGCTATTGCATCACCTCCTCGGGGCAGGAAATACCTCCAGGACCCCGCGGCCAGCGTTCATGATGAGAACTGGCGCGCAGAGCTCGTTCCGGCACCCCACCGCAGGACACGAAATGTCAGTTACGCTATTGCATCACCTCCTCGGGGCAGGAAATACCTCCAGGACCCCGCGGCCAAGACGGGAGGCGAAAGGAACGAACTAACGGGTTTCACAGCGGTCACATAGCTCAAGTGCTAAGGGATAGCATTAAGGGAAATAAATACAGCCTGGTCTCTCAGAAAGAAGGATGCTGCTTTTTGCCCTACATTAACCAGTTACTGAGAAAGCTTGCTCTGGCATACTAGGGAAGCACTGCAGAAAAGCAGCATCTCAGCTATTTCTTTTTTCCTTCAGAATACCTAAGCAAGGCAGACAAGTGTTACAGCGCTAAAGGCAGTTCTTACATGGTAATTACCCTGAGATATTTAAATCAACTTACTATTATGGTCTTAGTCCCTTTCCCATCTAAGGCAATGAAAAATTCCTGTTTCTACTAGAGTATCAAGTGCTTTATAAACTGCTGCTTGCTACAGGAGCACACCACAACGCTGCAGGAGTACTGCAGTGTTGTTTCTGTCCTGTTACTTTACTCACTGTGGAGTTTTGTTCTCCACCTTTCTTCCATGAAGCAGGCAGCGCAAGGTGTGCCATCCGAGCAACTTTTTGGGCTTACCACAGCTTTCTCTTGTCTTTGTGAGCCAGCTGTGTTGGGATGCGGACCCTGCACGTGCCTCCCATAGACCAGAAAGCCTGCACGCAGAGGTCACCATGCAGCAGCTGACCTTCAAGTAGCTTCCTCCCAGGTGACGCAGCATCTTGCACTCACCTGTCTTTAGACCGGTACTTGCTAGTACTGGGTGCGATACAGGGTCCTATGCTTCTGCGTCAAACCTACATCTCCAGGGGTTGGCACGGTATTCCAGCCTCCTCGTGCCTGTGAGGATGGCTTTGGGCCTGCAGTCCAGAGAAGGAAACCTTTTTCAACCTATTCCATAAAAAAAAGGATAGAAAATAACCACAGGTGGTAGGTACCAGTACTACTTGATATTCTTAAAATAAAAATGGCTGGTAGGTGTGTATTAATGACCCTTAACAGTCCCTCTCAGCACATCTGTATGGAGTGAAACGCCTCATTTCTTCAGGCCAGGAAATCTTTCTAATCTCAAAATGAAGACCTAGCCTGGTCCCCACCCATATGGAAACCTTCATCTGAAGATGTGATGGTGCCGGCATGTCTTTCTCCTGGACTGTTTTCTCCAGGATGAGTGTGATCCAGTCAGCAACCACCAGCCAGTGTGCAACGTTCCCCTTTCTCAGCAGGTCTGTTTCATGACCATGTGCCATCAGCCTACATAAGTCTCGGAGGCTCTATCGAGGAAGCTCCAGGCTGCTAGCCCACGAGTCCAGAGCCCATGCGGTACAGAAATGCCCGGTCAACCCTGATTCGTAGGCAGCTCGACTGATGTTTATTCGCCCAGTGAGGCTTTGTAATGCTGAAAGGGCTGCTCGACTCAACATCAGCATACCACTTCCCAGCACAGTAGTTCGCATCTCTAGTCAGAAAGGAGTACTTTTCTCCATGGGGCATGGCACAGCACTGAGCTGTTCATTTGCCTTAACACAGGGCATGCAACCTCACGCTGAAAACACAGCAAGACATACAGACCAGGAGTAAGTTTCCCACCTAGGAGGCATAAGGGCTAAGAGCCCTTGGGCGAGTGCTGCGAGTACTGTTTTTCCTCCTTCGTTACCGAGTTGCAGTTCAACTGAAGCCACTGTTGGACTAGGAAGCAGGCTCCCTCTTCCCTCTCCAGCTATCCATGGGTTGTTCAACGTGGACCCAAAAAGCCTGCATGATACAGGCCACAGGTTTGAACTATTTGCCCCCTGTAGTGCGTCCAGTAATTTCCATCCAATTAAAATGTCTTTTCGAAAAAGACATCGAATTTCTCTGTAAAGAGGCAGAGAAAAGCTGGCATGCATCTTTAATTTGTGAAACAAAAAACAAGTGAGAATCTTGGGAGCGTGTAACAATGCACCATCTCAGCACACACAGGTAACATACCCCTTCCTTCCCAACCGATCTGCCAGAGAGATTTTAATATTAAAACCTCATTACCGCTATGATTAGCAGTACTTAGGGTTTGTTACAGTAATCATGGATTCTGTGACTTTTTAAACATTTGGAATTTTTACAGAGTGCCAAAAAATGCTAATTTACTACCAAAGCCAAGATTTTATTTCAAACCTTTTGGCAGAAATCATCATCAGCTGGGCTTTTTGCATGCATGTTCCATGAAAATATAAAAATTTGCAAGTGATCACCTAGTGGTGTTAGCTTTTTTTTTTTTTTTAAAGAAAAAAAAAAAGAGTCCAAGTTACTAGAGTAGGAAATGAAAGGGCCTATGAGCTAGGTAGTTTTACCTCCGTAATATTTTTTAATGAGTTTGAGTAATTCCTTCTTTAAGAGATGGAGCAGAAATACCGCAAGTTACAGACTTTACCCTCTTGTGGTTCT